TCATATTTGATAGTAAGGGGAATTTGCATATTTATAAATTATTTACCTTAGATCCTAAGAAATACTATGAGGTTATTACGAGGATACTGCAAAGTATGCACGAAGACAGCACAGCAGGAGTATCGACAGACACATCTTTTCCTCCCAGGAATACATCATAGGGATGCTTCATGTGGGGTCCGGTCAAACCCTGGGGGAAGCCCTGTTTGTTTTTATTATTAGAGGACGCTTACACATGTAATCACTCCAAATTTGGAAATTTCCTAATATGGTAGGATGAAAATACCCTGTAAAATACCGCAAAATTACGAAACGCTGTAACTTATGGTGACAGATGTATAATAATGATTTTTTATAATAGCTTAATAAAAGAATATCGCAAAGTATGCACTCAGGCAGTACGGGTTGCATCAACCTCCAGTTTGGTGAATACGATCTGTGTACTTGTGACCTCATATTATTATCACATACCCAGATATCCATGCTTTAAAAGTGAGTTTTATGTGTCGCAATTACTTATGAACATTCATCACAGATGTGTGATCTTCTTTCAATTTGTATTTGAGCCAGTTTATTCAGTTTTGGGTTAGGATCACAGTCAGTATAGCCATTTTTTTTCAATTTCGGGCCAAAATTCCAGCTAGTTTTATCAGTCAGGACTAAATCCCAGCCAATTTCATCAGTCGGGGCAAAATCACAGCCATTTTTATCAGTCGAGCCAAAATCCCAGCCATATTTATCAGTCAGGCCAAAATCACAGCCATATTCATTAGTTGGGCCAAAATCCCATCCATTTTTATCAGTCGGGCCAAAATCCCAGCCATATTTATCAGTCGGGCTAAAATCCCAGCCAGTTTTATCAGTTGGGCCAAAATCCCAGCCAGTTTTATCAGTCGGGCCAAAATCCCAGCCAGTTTTATCAGTCGGGCCAAAATCCCAGCCATATTTATCAGTCGGGCCAAAATCCCAGCCAGTTTTATCAGTTGGGCCAAAATCCCATCCATTTTTATCAGTCGGGCCAAAATCCCAGCCAGTTTTATCAGTCGGCCAAAGTCCCATCCATTTTTATCAGTCGAGCCAAAATCCCAGCCATATTTATCAGTCGGGCCAAAATCCCAGCAATATTTATCAGTCGGTCGAAATCCCAGCCATATTTATCAGTCGACCGAAATCCCAGCCATTTTTATCAGTCGGGCCAAAATCCTAGTCATTTTTATCAGTCGGGCAAAAATCCCAGCCAGTTTATTTAATTGCAGGTCAGAATCACATGGCTTCTAAGTGTCAAAAATTATGAAACTTTTTTTTTCAGGTAATTAGACAATGTTATTATAACAAATAATTTGCAATTTTTTTTAATTTCAGCCGATTTAGAAAGTCAACTGACTGATTTACAAGAAGCCAATGAATGCGCAGTGACTGAGTTGTCCAGAGCTGAAAGAAAACTTGTTGAATTAAAAGAAGAAAATGAAAGTCTCCAAACTGTGACAAAAATAACTAGTGACGATTACAGAGGACAACACGATAAATTACAAGGCGAGGTGAGATTTTTATAAAAACAAAAGAACCTTCAAATCTTTACATTGAGGCTGCTATTTACTAAATATGTGGTAATGTTTTATTGACAAGATGAATTATTATTGGGGAAGTCTAAGCTGCACATACTGTCAAAGGATGAAACTCCACCAATACAAGAGAATGTAATTTACAGCTTCTATATTATATATCATACATTCTATACATACATAACTGTTTAGTTTACATGTTGTCCACCATTTTGATTTTCTAGCAGAGAATCATGGGTAAAATATGATGTCATCTATACTGTAGAATACTTTATTTTCGCTGGAATTAATTTTCGCTGAAAAGGCTTTTTGGGCGTTTTTTATGGAATTTATTTTCACTGATTGTTGATGAGTTTAATGTGAAAGATAGGAAAAAAAGTATATTCGCTGGATTTTATTTTCACTGAATCATTCCTTCAGCGAAAATAGCGAAAATAAGTTCCAAGCGAAAATAAAGTATTCTACAGTAACTTGAAAAATACTGATGCAAATTAGTAAATGATAAAATGATTCTTTTTTTTGTGATTTTATATAACCAATTTGTTCATTCAGTGTTGATAAATTCAATTTTAGTTAACTATATTGTTATCGTATAATCAACAAACTATTTGCTTATTTTTCACATAACGCATGTAATCAACCAACAGGCTGTTAGTTTTCAATTTCAAATAAAAATAAATATAATTTAACTGATGTTTCCGAAATTCTGGGTTGCGATACCATAATCTATATATATATATTTTTTTTGGAGCATGTGAGATACAAAGTCATTATTCTTGTTGAGATTTCCATCCAAGTAGAATACAAGTTCAACAAATGCAGGATTTATGAATTTTACTTCTCTCCTTTAAGCTGGACAGACTAAGAAGCAGAGACAGCCGACATCAAGACAGTCGACACTCAAGATATGGTGGAAATAACTCGCATCTTGAAGAGGAAATGCAACAACTGAGAGATGATTTACGATCCTTACGAGAACAACATCATTGTTTAAATGATGAAAACACAGCTCTTCGCACCGACATATCTAATCTGAAAAAAAATTATTCGCACATAGAACATGAAGCTACCACACTGAACAAGGAAAATACACGGCTTTCGGAGGTTGGACCAAGTAAGTATGAATTAACTGATGTTTTGGGTAGTTTTAAATATGCTAAAGGAGGTCTTTAATGTTAATAAAGTGTTATTTGAATCACATTTCACATCAAGAAAAAAATTATTGCATTTATCATACAAGCAAATGTATAGGGGTAAAATTATCACAGGTTGCTGCAGTCATGGATTAGTGTTATTTTATTTTCACCTTCTGACAAGCTCTACTACAATTATCATAAAAATATAACAGCTGGGCTGTGTAAAAAAACATAATTTGTTCAGGATGAAACATTAAAATTGTTTATATTCACAGAATATTATGTGAACACTAAATTTTTAAAATGTATACATACCACTGTAAAAATATTAATAGAAAGTTTGATTTTCAATGTTTACATCACGTCTAAGTGTAATTCCTTGTACACAGTAAAGCAGGAAAGGCAGTGCAACATAAAAAGTAGCACTGACTTCAGGTCAGGTCACCTGTGGGCTTAGATACAATATTGTCGCAATAATGAATATTTTTACAATTTAACTTCTCATTCAAGTATGCATGAACAACATTTAATATCTTGATTGTGCCCGATTCATAAATACCTGCTTGCCACATATGAATTTGAAAATATATTAAAATCCAAGACGTGTTTACAATGACAACAGCACTCATGTCACAAGTTTTTGGTATATTAATCTGTACGTCAAAATTGACGCTGCGAGTCATTTAAAGTCTGCTGTCTGAATTCAAGCTTATTTTAGTTTAAACTCTTTATATAAGTTGTTGCATTTTTGATAAAGTGGTTATTTCCTACCAACAAGAAATTACCATGTTATATTTTTTTTATGTTCTATATTCTCATGAATATTGGATATTGGCAGCAAATAATTTTAAATATTGATTTATTTACAGGAGAACGAGAAGAATTATACACAAGACTTGATCGATATCGAACAGAAAAACAAGAAGCCTTGGACGAAATCCGAGCATTGAAAGACCAACTTCAGATCATTACCACTAGAGAAAGCACTCCCTCCAAGAGTTACTCATCAATGTCCACTTCACACATGAATACAAGCAAATATTACACTTCTCCAGAGGGAAGGCAATCACATAGTGGAACATCACATTCTAAGTATACTCCCACACCACCAAAGTTAAACAAGAGTTCTCCTGCATCTGTTTCACCACCGCACAGGGGCTACCCAGCCTGGGAGGGTATGTAATAATCTGTTTGTTGTGAAAAGTAAAAAGATTTTTTTTTGAGAAACTTATTGTGGCATATTCATATTCATTGTTGTAGCACTGCAAATGATTATTTTCTTTTTTAGCTCCGCTGTTGACTTTGTCGAGCGGAGCTTATCATATGAGTAATTGTCCGTCATCGTCCATGTCAATGTTTTACTTTTTCAACTGCTTATTGAAAACTAAAAGCCTGAATGCTTTGATACTTGGTGTATATGTACCTTGGGTAGACCTTTCTCAGATTTGTTCATTTCATGATGATATCTTCAATTCTCTAATTTTGGTGAATATTTTTGTAATTTTTGGTAAAAAGTGATATTTTCAACTTCTTGTTAAAAACTGCAAGTCCAATTGCTTTGATATTACATATATAGGTTCTAAATGTGGACCTCTCTCAGATTTGTTCATTTCATGATGATATCTTCAATTCTCTAATTTTGGTGAATATTTTTGTCATTTTTGGTAAAAAGTGATATTTTCGACTTCTAATTAAAAAACGCAAGTCCGATTGTTTTTATATTACATATATTTATATAGGTACTACATGTGGACCACTTTCAGATTTGTTAATTCCGTGGTGATATCTTCAATTTTTGTCATTTTTGGTGAAAAGTGATAGTTTTGAATTCTTGATGAAAACAGCAAGTCCCATTGCTTTGATACTATACATATTGTTCATTTTCTAATGATATCTTCTTTTCTTTTATTGAAATGTGCATTGTTAGCAGCGGAACTATCTCAGCCGACTGGCTGCTTGTTTTCTTGTGGCATGAAACACACAAATAAAAACAATGTAATTAATACATAAAATGGCAATGCCAAAATGTAATACATGCAATTTATCTAAGAATAAATTTTTACTTCATCAGGAGACAAACTATCTCCCGCTTCAGATGCCAGTGATTCAACCGCTGTCTTGACTGCAGGATGGCACGAGGACAGAGTGCATGAAGGATTTGGTGCTGTGGATGCATTGACTGCACAAATCGATAAAGAATTAGAGCGAAGCAGAAAGAAGGATAATTTACGAGGTAAGTAGATGAATTTCCAGTTCTTGTTTTGCTAGGATTTCATCCTCAATTACAAATTACAAAAATTTTGTATGAATGTTAGTAGACTGGACACACTCAGTCTTCAATTCATATTAATCCAATTATTTGACAATGTATATATAATGAATTGTGCAGACCTGGACTACTAGAATGGCAATGTCAAGAAATTCAATGAACATTCTGAATCACATAAACAGACTTTAAACAAGATTCCACCTAAGATGCATTTTTTAGTGTATCTTGTCTAATGGTTTTGGTTTCAACACTAATTGAGATTGTAGCATACTCACCCAAAATACAAATCTTTAAAACAAACTCTCAAATACTCAGTATGTAGTTCTACAATTTTATAAACAATGTTTTTTTTTAATTTTCAGCGACACGAAAAACTTTGCACTACACAGAAACAGATGATACTTCAACTACATATAGTGGTTTTGATGATCCTCCCATAACTAATAACATACACAGCCGAAAAGGACGATCTGCGTCTCACCATCGATATTCAAGTGGCCAATTGAGCAGCAGTAGTTCAATGTCATCACTATTAGACGATTTTGAGGATATTGGATCATTCGGTACAGGGAACATTAAAAGACGACCACAGGCTATTGAAAAGAAAGACAGACATTCCAGTAAAAAGACAGGTAAGGATTTTAATTCTCTGCATAATTATAAAAAAAATTCTCTCTAAATATCTATCTATCTAAAAACTATCATAATGACCAATTTAATGTGCTATCCTGGCATTGTCCAGGCTAGGTCAAACACAAGCACCTGCAGAATTTAATCAGGGTTCTCCCAAAGTCGCATTCATTAGTGATCACTTGGTCAGTGGATTTAACCTTCCCATTTGTCTGTTGCATCCCCACCCAGGTTAGGAGGTCAACTTTTTTTAATGTTCAACCCAAGCTAGGATTTGAACTTGGGTCTACCAATCCTAATTCGGATTACAACCACTATGCTACTGGTAGAAAATAAAAATAAGAAGATCTTCATTGTTACTCTCTTTGCAGAATACAACACAATCAGTAAAGCCTCTTCAGTGCAGACTTTAAATACATATAGTCGTGGTTTGGATTCTGGTTATGACAACATTGGTAAATCTCACTCACGGCATAACCGTCATCGAACTCTATCACCTCCACCACCCACAGAAACCAGAGTACCACAACCCGTTGGCTTCCGCAGCATATCACCATCTCCAGTAATTACACAGCATAATAGAGATCTTCTCGGTCACACTGTTGGGTAAGTTTGTTTTCTTGTCATTGTTTTCAGTCTTCAGACATTTTTCGAAGAGATTATAACTTTATTAAATATATGAAATATTCTAATTAGAATACTTTCCAAATTAGTTGACGAAAATAGCGGAAGAAACTTTTCTTAATTAGAAACTTCTATGAATTTTAATCTAAAAGAATTGTACTATTAGCAATCAAATGATTTTATATTTTATATTTTTGTTGTTTGTAGCGAAAGAATCAACTTCAATTTTCCAGCCCGTCCATATGTTCCTCGAACTCCTGTAGATGTTAACATTGGTGACATGGTGAAATTTTCAAGACCGGGTGGTAAAATTAGTAAAGGAGTTGTTAAGTATAATGGTTACTTACCAGGACGCAATGACACTTACCTCGGTGTTGAATTAGAGTATGAAGGTATGTTATATAGCATAGTACTCAAGTAGTGGAGTATTTTGTTTGAGCATTATGTTGCATTATAGGAGAGAACTTCCATTGAATTTATAAATAATCTTATATCACTAAAACCTAATGAAATTAATTATTATTAATGAATTTCTTTAACAATATTAGGATTCATTGATATCATATGTGTTTTTCAACTCTTTTCACTTAGCAACATTTGTATTATAAAATGATGTCACCATAAAAACCAAATCACTTAGCAACATTTGTATTATAAAATGATGTCACCATAAAAACCAAATCACTTAGCAACATTTGTATTATAAAATGATGTCACCATAAAAACCAAATCACTTAGCAACATTTGTATTATAAAATGATGTCACCATAAAAACCAAATCACTTAGCAACATTTGTATTATAAAATGATGTCACCATAAAAACCAAATCAAAAATGAAATAACAATTTTATCATTTTCCATGACAAACAGTTCTTTTTCTCAAAACATTGTCTGCCGACCATATTGTGTTGTCTTATGATATAAAACCCATAAAAATATAAAAAATATCCATTTTAATTGCTTGTCTCTTATTTTTCCCATTTTTAGACGGTAAACATGATGGTGTGTTCAATGAGCAAAGATTCTTCCGGTGTCGACCAAACAAGGGAGTGTTCGTCAGTTTTAGAAAGGTCATCATGGTCTGGAGTCATTAAGACAGACAGATACAAGACAATAGTGATGCCATGGTGATGCCATGGTGTTGCCATGGCAATAAATATTTGAACTTTTGAAGTGACCCTTAATTCCTCATTCAAAATGGCTTCACTATATGCTTATTTTAATGCCAAATACATTTGTAATGTGGAAAATGTGTGCATACTTTATTTTTATTATGATAACCCAACACAAAGAAATCTGTCTTTGATGAAAAATGCCAAATTTTTACTAAATATATTAACTGATATATTGGTGTAATATTCTTTATATTATTAACTGTGAATGAATTGATTTTGTAAAATAATTAAAATTACAAATTTTATAAAGAATTTGTGGTAATAATAACAGGGTGTGATTGTACATATTGACAATAATGAAAATAAATTGTACAGTTTTATAAAAAACTTCTCTGTACAAAAAAATAAATTTGTATTTTCTTCTATATTTGGAATTTTTTGAAAAAAATTACTTCTTTGTGGTGTTTATGTTCTCCATAAATCCATTGACTCCCCATAGATTTAGATGAGTCATAATGCCAAAGTAATGTTTTAGGGGTGAATGTTTTTATAGATAGAATTATTGTACATTTTTACAAAATATTATCACCAAAATGTCTGATAGTTTTATATCATTTAAAAGTTGGTGTCACAATTCTTTTTATACTCAACTCCTATTCTGTAAAATGATACATTCTGCTCTCTTTAAATTATGTACTATAATATCACAAGTCATTCCATCGTTTTATTGAGCGTTAGGGGCCAAGCCATGATTGGTTGCTTTTCTTACAACTAAAAATGTATATATATAATTTTTTTGACATATTTGCTCTACAACTACGTATACGTATACAATATTGTATGTACAAACATAACGTCCATGATTCTTTTGACGCTTTTCATGTAAAGTAGTTGCTGTCTGTCAGTGTGCAAACTCAGGCACTGAGCCAGTAATAATTCAGTAACATAAATAATGTTACTGTGCACTGCCTTCCTATCCCTTAGTTTGGAGTGAGACCAGTACAGGAAGCAAGGATTTCACAGTTCATGGTGATAGTATCATTTCACAGTGCGTGATACATGTTATCTTGTGATCCCTATGGGTACAAAGGGACAAAGTATGAGAAACATTGACTATACAATATGGACGGTGTAATATTCAAAATATGTGTATACTTGAGTACTGAAAAAAAAGTTTGACGACACATTTTTGTTTTATCTACATTGGTGCAGATGTAGGTGTCGAGTTATGTTATATTTTAAATATTACACTGGTAAATAATTGTTTCAACCATTTTTCAAACCCCAAACCATGCAAAAACCAAAATTCTCGACAGATATAACCTATCCTTATCCTTCCCTAAAACCTAAAACTAGTGGCTGCCCTGTGACAAAAATATCACTCACCCCTGAACTCTACACCAATGCCTATTTATCTTTTCTGGTTGTGCATTATTAATTTTTTTGTGTGTATAATAAACATTGTTTTTGTTTGTAAATTATGTAACTTCTAGCTTGTCTAATTTATAAATTAATTTCAGGAATGTAAATTTGTTTTAATGTTTTGTAATTATGACTGCATGTTTAGCCTTGTTACTTAGAAACGAGGGCAGTCTTGATGGGATTCAGTAAACTGTGTTAGAAGTAATTTTCATTATAAACATAATATAGATGGATTTTATATTAATTTTGCTATTAAATAATAATAAAAAATAAACCCAACATTCAACAACGAATAAATTGTTTTCATTTACATTGCATGTCAGTTTTTATTTAAAAGATCTCTCCTGATTGGCAGCTAACAAATCACATGCGAGATGTAAGCCAATCATGGTTCTTGTTTCTTCTGGGGTGAAAGATCTCACTCGATTGGCAGCTGACAAATCACATGTGAGATTTAATCCAAATATGATTCTTGCACAGTCAGCTGGCGCACACGTGATAATAAAATAAATACGATATTTACTAAATGGGGGCCGCCATCTTGAATGACGCATAAAACTAAATAAGAGACAAGTTGTGAAACGCGTTTTTCAGATTCCTACAAATCAAGAC